GCAGATTTACTTCAGTAAATGCAAATGTGTGTCTTTAGCACTAGAGACCAGAGCACTAACATGAAGGGACAGCTGGTTCTCCTTAATTTCTGTGGGGACCACCACTCTTTGTCATACACTAACAAACTAAGAGGATTCACTTCCTGGACTCTTCTATTGACGTCAGTAATGCGATTGCCAACTGAATAATTAACCACTTTATCACATCTGCCCCGCAAGGCTGCAGCCTGGGRAACATTGATTATTTGTTTTGTCATGGGAGCTTTGTATGTCTTCTGCAAAGAGCGTTCAGGGTTTTTTGTTTTCATGCTGATGGCTTGAACGAGTGAGCACCAGCAAACTGTTAAGTATGATAGATCAGACTACAGCATACTTTGAAAACTGAAGTTGGAAGGATTGGGTTGGGGCATGCYAGAGAGTGATATGCTTTTTCTATAGCACTGCTGGTGGTTGTGTCTTACTGATTGATCCCTGCGTTGTCATTTTCTGTGTGATGGAGAGGCTGATCATCCAATTGTTTATAAAATCGCTTTTTWAAATTCCATTTATTGTGTTCACTGAATGTGAAAAGGTTACTGACTTGATGAAAAGTATAACTTGCAATAAAAACAGTGTGTAGTTTTTACTGCAGTGTGGGATTACCCTGGTATAACAAAGTGCCTATTCAATAAATAATTGAAATGTATGTGAGCTACCATCTGGTGCTGCAGAGTAGGGATAAAAGTTTATAATCCAGACTCTTGATGGTTAGGGGGTGGGCCTAAATCTGGACTGCTGTATATTTGTATTCCATCAATAAGGGATACCCTTAAAACCAATTACAGTTGATACTGTGTATTCCTTCGTTTCCTTCAAGCTGTTAAAAACAAATAAGTGCCAGCAATGAGACACCTTTTATCTGTGTCCTAATGCCCTCACAGTGTGTTTCCACTGACAAGGAACTTGTTTCTGCCTCCAGCTAATAAGGAAAATATCATGCCAAACATGCTAATCTTCCTTATGTCATGATGTGTCTTAATTACAGCCTGATTTGCTGTTAGAAGGTATTCTGGATTAATGTGCACAAGTTTTCTGTGCTGTTATGTGTCTGTAGAAGCATCAGAGTGTAGTTAAATATTTGGGATATACTTTGAAGATCAGTGTGGCTTTATCAACTGGAGACAGAAGGAATTTCCTTTTGACAAAATGGAGACTTATCACTGACARTGGAAATAAGCTGCATAGGTATTAAGTTTGAATTGAGCTGAGCTTTGTAAAAAGCATTTCTTTATAATTTTGATTTTAAAACTGGGTGTGAGGTATCACACATGTAAAATTCACTTGAAATGATTCAGCATGGCTAATGGACTTGCTTGCCTTCTTAATTGCCAAGAGAAAATAGAGTTCAGGCGTGGTAGTTGAGGCAGGGTTTTTTTCTGGCTKTGGGGTGCAGAAGGAGATTCTGAGTTGCATGATGTACTTGCTGCATATGGATATCTCTGCTTTTTGACAGAGCATGGTCCTGCTCATATTTTGTAGCTGGTGGATGGTGGAGAATTGGGAGTCCAGAAAATTAAGTCCCATTCATCTTGTGAGACTTACATCATCTCCTCTCTATTCAACATCTGTGGAAACCTTACCTGTGTAGGCGGATGAACTCCAAATAGTTGATCCCCTATTGCTTCTGTCCTATTCCTCTGCTGCTTCCTGGCAGTCCTGCCACAGGCTTATTTCTTCTTAATCTTCTTCCTATTTGCTAACCATAGAAGAGCGCAGGGTGTGGTTCTTCGCCTTGAGGCAGCTTGTGGCCTCCATTGCTTTACAAATCATGTAAGAATCTGCCATTTTAACCTTGGCGATTACAGCTTTCYCATGGTGAATGGAATTTTCAAACAGACTGTATTTTCCCTCTACTGGATGTATAACACACATAACTTTATGCCGAGTATCTTTGGAGAAGAGCTAGCTGAACTGCAAGTGAGGAGTCCAAAGTCCTTCTAACTATTTTTATTTATAACTTCTGTTGAATAAGCTCTCACCCAGTTGGTTATCACTGTTRTATTGTTTATATAATAGATATTGAAATAATGCTCAATATTCTTAGCGGAAATTGAATCCAAGTCTGTTAGATAACAGACCCACATCTACATGTTCAGAAAGAACTTCCCAAATCTTAGTGTCTTTTAAGCTGTTGCTGCATCTGCTGCTCCTAGTGTGAGAAATAGTGAGGAGTCCTGTTTATGTTAGTTGCCTTTGCTCCTTTCTCTCCGAAAATGAGACTACCTAAAGCTATCAGTAGTCCCAGAGGAGGCTGTGTGGCCTTTGGACTAACCTAGGGGTGCTGCAGTGTGGTGTTGTCCATGCACTGCAGAGGGACCTCCCAAGAGACTCYTCCTGCAAAAAATGTATGCTGTCTCTTGTTCAACCTGACAAGGAGAAAAGTACAGGAGTGCTGCAGCAGCAAAGTCACAGCTCAGGTGTCTGTGCATCACCTGTCCTTTAGCTTTCAGGTACAGCATGTTCCTCCCTATGGAGCCTCTTGTTCTGTCATACTGAGGCATCTGAGTCTTGCATAATCCTGTGCTAGAGTGGCTGCTTGCAGGGCACCTTGCTGGCTGGCATCAGTTCTGTGCTGGTCTGACATCACCTTGTTTATCAGGAGTTCTCTTAGTTGGCTATGGCTGGTGCTCACTGCCCGTCCTTCCAGTCAGCAGGCACTGGTGCAGCTGGCTGCTCTGTTTTTGGACAGCTACTTTTCACAGTTTGCTGCCAATAAGCAAACATGTTTGGAGGAGARTCTCGCAGGAATGGGCTCTATTTGTATTCAAAATTATTTTGGTGCTGCACAGCCTCTCGTGCTCTAGCCTTTGTTTCCTCTGACCCTGTTTTGTGCTGCTGGCCTGCTGCAGAGGGCAAGGTGGCACGTGTCCCTATACACTTCATTCAGTGTTTTCTCACTCCCAGACTATGTACTGGCTGGTTCACTCTGTGAGAACACCTTAAAACCCATGTGACAGTAGTTTAGACTAATCTGTGAGTTTTTTTGTTTGAAGCAAGTGCATGAGATACTTCTGTGGACTGTTTCTCCTGATTTATTATGAGCTGTTTGAATGCTGACTTACCRTCTGTGTTCTCGGTTTGTGCAAGGTCTGCTACCCAGCTAGAGTGATGTTCTGCTTTTGGATGGGGGCGGAGGTGTGTTTGTGTTTGTTTTTCCTGAGAGGAACTYTAAGAATGCTGAAGCTGTGGGAAAAATGAAGAAGATGCAGATGATTAGCATAAGTAGGCCAGCTTGGCACCTGCTGCTAAGCTCTTGAAGACACTTCTGGCATGGTAGACAGTTGATGCTCTTGGAGTAACATCAATATATTCCCAGTCTGGACTATAGAAGAGAAAAAATGTACACACAGTGCTCAAAGCAACCTTTAGCCTAGCTCTGAACTGCCACTTTAGGGTATTTATCTGTTACACAGTCTGGACCATAGATGGAAAAAGTCAGGCACAGAACATTCACTGGGAAGGGCTGCTGTGCTGGTGCAGTGATTCACAACTTCAGGTCGCTGTTGGGACTGGTGCTTCAAGTTTGGATCTTGCTGTTTAGAGGGGCTCTGTGAGCTTTGCAGGTTGACTCCCAGGCCTTCTCTTTCCTCCTTTCAGTTCTGCTTAAAGAGGCACCTTTACCTTTCATATAAAAAAATACTACTTAGGGAAGGGGTAACCTTGCAGGGTGRCCTGTCAAAATGGTGTAGACCCTCTTCTCTCAGCCTGAGAGCAGTTGTGTTCAGAACTGTAGATGTGAGCCTGAGAAAGGGTCTTTCCAACCTGCATTAGAGCATCTTCTAAATTAGCTGCAGGGTTGAGCTAGTCCTCTGCYACAGGTACTGCTGTACTAGAAAAGGTACTAGAGAAGGGCAGGGGCACCATGTGTGGTGAGTGTCCTGCTAGTGTAGGAGGCAGAAATTATTATTTTTCAGATGACCTCAGAGC